TGTTGATTTAAAGCAGAGTCTGTCGTGCCCAGCGGAAGGATGAGTAATACGTGCTACATACTCTATATTGCTTTATTTACAGTTCAAAGCTGGTATATTACAGAAAGACATCTTGCCTCTCTGGAGCAGAAAAATGCATCCTCTCTCCTCGACAGCTTGGAGAGAATCACACAGTGAAAAACAGGAAACCAGTGTACGTCACATCCAGTCTCCCTTTCCCGTGAGAAACTCCAACAGTACAGACTGTGGAATGTAAACACCTGTCTTGTGACTGCAGTTGCTGCTCAGTGAAGGAAATAGAAACCAACATCCTCCCCCTTTCTGTGAACATCACTGGGCAGCGTGTTTGCACAATATCAGTACAAACCCAACTTCTGCACATAGGTACAGTGTTGATCCCTTGATACAATCTTGGACAATACATCAGCAGGAATTTCATTACCTGGCATATAGGACACCGTTACGAGTCCCTTCTGAATACATTCCCTAGCATGCTGCAACTTTAATTGCAAGTGCTTTGTGCTTTGCTTACAACCTTCAGACTTCAGCAAAGCCAAACATGCTCTGTTGTCCTGGTAAACCTGGATTGGACATTTGACAGGAATTTTCATATCTGTGCACAATTGTACTAACCATTCACAATCCTTAAGTGAATAAGACAGTGCATTCAGTTCAGCTTCACAAGTACTTAAGCTAACTGTTGTTTGCTTCTTGCATGACCAATCAAACAGACTCTGATTGTACATGTAGCAAACTCCAGACGTACTTTTCCTGTCTGTAGTGTCACTTCCAAAACTTGCATCTGCAAATATCTCAAGACCACCAGACTTCTGATTGTTAAATCTCAGTCTGTAATGCATAGTGCCTTTCAAATACCGCGCTATGCGTTTCAGAGCTTTCCAATCCTTGACACTAGGATTGTTGACTTGTCTGCTTAGCAAATTACAGCTAACAGCAATGTCTGGTCTTGAACATCTGGCAATGAAGTTTAGCTTGCCTAGCACACTCCTGTACAGTGTAGTGTCAGAAAATGCTTCTTCAGTGTCATCTACCTGATAACCTGTTGTCATCGGTGTGTCTACAGGGTTAGCATCCATCAGATTTAGTTTGCTTAACACATCAGCAATTTTCCGTGACTGGTGTACTAGAATGTTACCATCTTGATCTCTCTCTATTTCCAGAGATAGGTAGTTGTTTACCTCACCAAGATCTTTCATGTCAAAGTGCTCTTTCAGTTGAGCTAGGGCGCTATTGTACATTGCAACATCTTTCCAAAAGAATAATAAATCATCAACATAAAACAAACAGTACAGTTTCTTTTGCCCCTCCTCTTTGACAAATACACATGGATCAGCTTTCCCTTGCTGAAAACCTAGAGAAAACAATACTTCAGTGAGTTTTGTGTGCCAACACCGTGCACTTTGTTTGAGACCATAAAGGGATTTCTTCAGAGCACAAACAAATCCCTGTTTTACCTGTACGCCATCAGGTGGAAGCATATAAAGTGATTCATCTAGAGATCCGTACAGAAAAGCTGTATTAATATCATGGTGACTAATGTGTAGATTTTCCTCTGCAGCTAGCTTAAGCATAAGCCTAATGCTTTCATATCTCACTGTGGGTGAATAGGTCTCGTGATAGTCTTCACCTGGTACCTGTGCAAAACCTCTGGCTACCAATCTGGCTTTGTGTCTGACTATCTTGCCATTTTGATCTGTCTTCGCTTTGAAGACCCATTTGCTTCCAAGCAGTTTCATTCCTGGAACTACTGGAACTAGCTCCCATGTTTTGTTCCTTTCTAAGGAATCAAGCTCAGCCTTCATGGCATTTAACCATGGCTCAGCTTCCTTTGAATCCAAACCCTGGATTTCTTGGAAACTTGAAGGTTCAAATACCTTCTTGGAGCTTTTAACAGCTGTTACTGCTATCGTAGCAAACTCATCAGCAAATCTCTTTGGAGGTTTGCCTTTTGTGGCTCTCTGTGACCTACGAATTAGCCTTAAGTCTTCAACACTCTCCTCTTCCTTCTTAGGAGAAAAACGACCTATTGTGAACAATGGTTCCTCCAATTCTTGATCAGAGCTTTCAGAGGGTCGCATAGAGGCTTTCGCACTCTTGAAATCCTCTGAATCATCCGATTCAGTTTCAGATTCAGACTCAGAACCTTCATCAGTGGGTGTGGGTTGTTGTGGTTGCTTTTGACTATCCTCAGTCTCATCACCGTCATCAGGATAACATTGGAAAATTCCCACATTCTCCCCCACTTTGCATTGTACTCAACACTTCTCGTGAGCTTAATTGTCTTAGAGTCAGTCATCATTATTCTGTAAGACCCTTTCTGATAACCTAGAAAGATACCATGCAATCCACGCTTGTCTAACTTGGAGTTTTGTGGTGAGCGAACCCACATGTCAGAACCAAAATCTTCATGTGTTTGATGTATGGCTTCTTGCCAAACATCTTCTCATAGGGGGTACAACCAATCGCTGAAGATAGCCTGCGATTGTAACTGTAAACAAAACACGAGAGAGATTCGGCCCAATAACTCTCTGGAAGATTGGCATCATGCAGCAAGGTTTTTAAGCCTTGAAGCAATGTCTGATTTGCCCGTTCCGCAAGTCCATTCTGCCATGGCGAGCGAGGACTAGACAAATCGTGTTGAATTCCTTTCTCAGTCAGAAAAGCTTCAAACTGCTGAGAAGTGAATTCCCCCCCGCGATCACTGAAAAGAGTCTTTATCTTCTTACCATGCACATTTTCCAACCAAGCACAGAATTCCTTGAACCTAGGAAAAGCCTCCGATTTCTGCTTGAGATTGTACACAAAAATATATCTAGAAAATGCATCAATGAGAACCATGAAGTATCTATTTCCACCCAAAGAGGGCGCAAGTGGTCCAACCAAATCAGCATGAACAACCTGGTATGGTTCTGTAGCTGTCCTACTAGACACCTTACCTTTCGCAGCCATTTTCACCTTGTTTGCTGCGCATGCTTTGCACTTCATGTGGTACCTGCAGGGTTTAATAGTCATACCTTCTACCAAGGCAGGCATTTTAGATACTGCCTCAAAATGCAAATGACCAAATTTGCGATGAAAATCGTGAATACATTCTGCATGTAAACTTTTGTTAGAACCTGCAATGCAACAAGTGTCATCCTGCACCACATCATCATAATACAAAACAAACAAATGATCAACATATTCTGCATGCAATACATAATCATTTTTCTTTGTGATGATGCACTTCTTGTTCTTGAAGGAAACGTCAATGTTCCGCTCATTCAGCTGTCCAACGCTGAGCAGATTATGTTTGGCGTCTGGCACGTAAAGCACATTCTGTATCGATAAGTCCAAACTGTGAAGAACAACAGTTCCGTAGCCTTTACTGGGAATAGTGTGGTCATCCGCCTGGTGAATCGCACCTTCCTGCGGTGTAAAAGACACAAACAGTTTCTTATCGTTGCACATGTGGTGGGTGGCCGCTGAATCAACAACGAAGAAAGATCTAGACGTCTTCTGGACCTCTGCAACCTTTGGAGTGAAGCGTGAAACCATAGCCTTGTGTTGCGTTGTCCTAGACACCGGACCTTTGCCTTTGCCTCGGCCTTTTCCGCGCGATGAGCTTTCGCTGCGCTGCTCTGTCTTGGCCCTGGGATGTCTGCATTCCCTCTTCATATGGCCTAGACGTCCACACGAGTGGCATTTCACTGCCTTCAAAGCTTTGGCGCCATCTGGTGGTTCCACTGCACTATGGGATGACGTCTGTGAAGACTCCCCCTTGCCCATGCAGCTAGCACCCCACGATCTGCTTCATTTAAAATCACGGCAGTAACAAAGTCCACTGTCAGCTGAGCAGTTGGTTGCACAGCAATCTGGGTTGCAACAGACTCCCAACCTGAACCCAAAGATTGTAGTATCATGAAAGAATACACAGCCTCTGGAAAGTTGAGTCCTCTCTGTTGCAGCTCATGTCTCAGATTTTGCATCTCCATCAGATGTAAACGTACATCTCCACCTTCAGCAAGAGCCATATTATGCAGCTTGTTAAAATAAAACATAGTGGATCCAGCTTCTGTCCTTAAGTGAGCCTCTCTCAGAGCGTCCCAAATTTCTCTGGCTGAGGTCTTATCACGCAATAGACAGAGCTCTTCTGGGGATACTATCAATGTAAGAGTTCCCCTTGCTTTGGAATCCTTAGCTTCCCATGCATCTGTAACTGGAACTGGGGGTTCCTGTAATCACCTCAAACAAACCCTCTTTCCGCAGAATTGCCTCTGCATACTGAACCCAGTCGCTGTAATTATTCTTGTTGAGCTTAGGAATCCCACAAGCATCCTGAAGGGCCATCATGACTCTGGCATTAGCCTTCAGCGTCATTATATATGCTGCTTTAAATCTTGCTGCGTCACTGCTGCAGCTGCTTTATTACAAAGGCACACTTAAAAGTTACTTTCGATTTCCCCAGCATAGTGACTTGTGCCTGGGAGCCTTTTGCCTATTTGCAAAACCGGCTTTAAAAGTTCAAAGTCCAGCCATAAAGCCATTAACTTGAAGCTGGCAGGCTGCCCGGAGCAGTAGCACATACCTCATCAATCACTTCTACGCGCAGAGCAGATTCCTTTCCGATCCGTCCCTCTGCATTCCGATCCTCTGCCGGCACTCCGATTCGACCTCTGGAGTCCATAACCACGTGTTGATTTAAAGCAGAGTCTGTCGTGCCCAGCGGAAGGATGAGTAATACGTGCTACATACTCTATATTGCTTTATTTACAGTTCAAAGCTGGTATATTACAGAAAGACATCTTGTCTCTCTGGAGCAGAAAATGCATCCTCTCTCCTCGACAGCTTGGAGAGAATCACACAGTGAAAAACAGGAAACCAGTGTACGTCACATCCAGTCTCCCTTTCCCGTGAGAAACTCCAACAGTACAGACTGTGGAATGTAAACACCTGTCTTGTGACTGCAGTTGCTGCTCAGTGAAGGAAATAGAAACCAACAACCTCCCCATGGTCTTTTTCCTTCACAAATCTTGTCTTAAGGGCACATTTAAGATAGGAATCGGGTGTGAGCCTGTGACCTGGCTCAGGAACTAAGTATTTATCATTACAAATACTAGCCAGGCTCCCCAGGCAATCCAATCAAGTGACCATTTAGCCGGTAACCTGTCAGACGAGATAAACAAGTCACTCAGATTTCTGCTGTAGACCGCCTTTTCTGTGATGTAGGTATGATGTCTCTGGGGGGTGGTCTTAGGTTACACCCTTTCTGTGATGTATGTATGATGTATGGAGGGGTGGTCTTGAGCTCGAGGGCAGGGAATTTAAAATGTTCATATAAGGCCTTGCGCGCCATTGTTCTGGGTTCCCCCCCCTCCTGCGTGTGGTGAGTGAGGACCCTGTTGCAACAGATCAATAAAGATCAGGCTTACTAGCTGCTTTGCTTCTCAATATTCTCTGGTTGGCCTCTGTTATTTTCTCCTACCAATAGGGAACCTACGTAAGGACTCTATATGGGCTCTTGGATACCCCTAAGGGGGAAAGGGCAGATTTTGTTTACAACGGTGCCATGATTTCAGCTGCCTGCCCGGCTGCATACATACCACATTTCGACAGAAGCAGGCAATGTCACAGGGCCTCCTGACTGGGGTTTGCAAGGCCTGGCAATTGCAGGATATTTACCACTCCCATTTCTAGGCAAAGATCCCTCAGTCCTGCTCTGGTTACAGCTTCCAGGGCTGAGAACCCCAAGCCTGGGCCCGAAATGCGGCCCTCTGCCCCTTCTCCACCTGGCCCCTGGTCCTCTCTGCTGGCTGGCCAGAGCCATCCTTGGGCCGTAGATTTCATGGGCTCTGCTCCCCAACCTCCTCAAACCCCTTTGCATTTAAAAGAAAGTGCAGCACAGAGTTAAACTATGGAACTCCCTGCCACTGGAGGCAGTGGTGGCCACCAACCTGGATGGCTTTAAAAATAGTTTAGACGTATTCATGGAGGAGGAGAGGGCTATGGATGGCTCCTAGCCTTGGTGGCTCCACAGTAAGAGGCAGCAATGCTTCTGGATCCCAGGGGCTGGAAATTGTGGGAGGGCAGAGGACTCTTGTGCTTGAATCCTGCTTGCGGGTTTCCCAGAAGAGACATCTGGTTGGCCACAGGGAGGACGGGATGCTGGACTCATTGGACCCCTGGCCTAATCTAACAGGCTCTTCCCATGTTCTTAGGAAGTGTGATCAATGCCTCATGCAAGTCTGTGTGAAAACCTCTGACTTTTGTGTAGCCAGAATGAAGAAGTCCCAGTTCTTGGCCCACTCCTTTCTCCCTCTGGCCACACCCACTTTTGACTGGCTCCTCCCACCCTTGTCATGTGGCCCCCAGGTGGTCGTCCCTCGATGCGATGTGGCCCTTGCACGGCCTCCAGCCATAAGGATTTGAGTCTCCAACTCAATCTCTTGCAGCTTAAAGCACATCCTTTCCCTCAAATAATTCTTGGTAATGTAGTTTGTAAAGGACAGGCATCCCCAAACTCAGCCCTCCAGCTGTTTTCTTACCACAATTCCCATCACCCCTGACCACTGGTCCTGTTAGCTAGGGATCATGGAAGTTGTAGTCCCAAAACAGCTGGAGGGCCAAGTTTGGGGATGCCTGGTAAAGGGCTTGCTTGGTAACTCTGTGAGAGGGAGTTAAACTACAACACCCAGAATCCTTTGAGGGAAAGCACGAGTTTCGAATGTGCTTTCAAGGAATAGGGGTATGAACAGGCCAAATAGCAGTTACCAATAATTTTATTCCTTTTACAAACTGCTTGGCAAATTTATTTTACAATTAAGTGGTGTATAGATTTAAGGAAACAAACAAATTCATTAACAGTCCAGAAAGTTGGATGCTTCAGGTAGCAACAAGACTACGCAGATATTTAGAAAGTTAATGTGAGTCTTAATCTGTTTGTGGTTTATGGTTGATTTAACTCTTCAAGAGTTAAATTATCAGTTATTGTTGCTAATTCTACATAGGAAGCTGCAGAGTCAGATCACAGGGTTCATCTAGCTCAGAACGGTCTACACTGACTGGCAGCAGCCCTCCAGGGGTTTTTTGGGGGAGGAGGTCCTCCTCTGTTAGGGAAATACTGCCAAGTGGGGATTGAAATAGGTGCCTTCTGCATGCAAAACAAATTATTGTTGTTGTTGTTGTAAATTGCAGTCTAGCAGTGTATAAATCTTGCAAAATAACTAACCAAATTTTTAATAAGAGCGGGGCACAAATTTTTTTCTTCTTCTTAGACGGCATTGCAAACGACGGAGGTGTTTCAGAAGCAAACAAAACGAAACCCGGACGGCTTCAGTCCTCTATTGGTTTATTATTATTATTATTATTATTAGTCATAAGGTCTATTTGGTACACTTAAGGTGCAAAGAGTGCACACTCGACACACAAGCATACACACACAGAGGGCGGTAACTGCCTCCCCATGGCGACTTGGGGGAGCCCCCCATGCTGACATCGCCTGGCGGTGGGAGTACTTAGGGGGTGCAGCTCTGCAAAAGCAACGACCAACATCAAAGTGCAGAGCCATATGGGCGGGGGGTAGGGAAAAGGGGTTCCCCAAATACACAGGCAGGGAGGGGCGGCCCCCAAAACGTCTTCTCCAGGGGATCCCCCCCCCACAACCTGTCGCCCCGTGCAATGGGCTCGCCCCACACCCCACACTCGCTTCCGCCTCTGGGATGGGAACATCCCCTTTGGGGGTCTTCCTATCGCTTCTTCCGGATGTGCTTCGGGAATCTCAGAACGACCCTGCAAGGTACGACGGCGCTGCTAGGATCTCCACACACACACCCCGCCTCCCAGCTGCACAAAACCCGGCTGCTTTTTCGGCTGCTCCTCCTGGCGCGTCGCCCCTGGCACCGGACACCCTCTGCGGCTACTTCGCTCCTCTGGCGGCTACGGTAGAGACAAAGCTGGGTGTGGCTGTCGTGGCTGGTATGCAAGGTAGCAGAGTGGGAGGTTTTCCGTCAGTGGGGGTGGGGGTGGGGAGCGGCTACAAGCCTGGCCCCACCTGGGGGTGGGGGGGCTGCTCCCAGCCCAGCGGGGCCTCAGTAGGCGTGGTTGGCGACGTAGAGAGACAGGCCCGCCGCGCCAGAACCGTCGCTGGACCCTTCGTACTTGCCGAGGGCTGCCAAGCCGTTGACCTGGAAAGCAGAAGAAAAGTTTGGAAAGACAACTCCCATCAGGCTCCGCTGGCCTGGACAGATTTGAAACTACAACTCCCATCAGGCTCCGCTGACCCGGACAGTTTTTAAACTACAACTCCCATCGGACTCAGCCGTCACAAATACATTTTAAACTACAACTCCCATCAATCCAAGCCAGCACTGCTGCTCAGTGTGTGCACAGCTCTGAGCTAGATGGAGCCATTAATGGTCTCTGCATAAAGGAGTTTCCTATTTAAACAATCCTTTTATTTAGCATAAAAGGGACTAGAATCCTGCCCCCTTTTTTGTTTGGTGTACTACAGTATTTTAATATTTTTTTTGGAAGCCGCCCAGAGTGGCTGGGGAAACCCAGCCAGATGGGCGGGGTATAGATAATAAATTATTATTATTATTATTATTATTATTATTATTATTAGGGAAATGGCCATAGCTCTTGCCCGTTTATATCCAATTCGGCTCCCTCGGTTTCTCTTCTGGACCAGAATCTTTATTTTGAAAGCAAGCTCAGCAATGGAGCACCTGCTTTTTGTTTATGGAAGGTCCTGGCGCCATCATCTGCATCACCGGTTGGAGAAGGGAGCAGGGAGCAGGTGATGAGGGTTGAGCCTTTTTCTGCCTGAGCCCCTGGAAGGATGCTGGGGAAAGGGACCCGAGGGTCATCCAGCCCAACCCGCTGCAATGCCGGAATCTCAACTGGAACATCCCTGACGGATGGCCCTTCAACCTCTGCTTTAAAACACCTCCAAAGTGGTTTTTGTGCCCAGCTCCTGCTGACGGGTTTCCCTGGGGGCACCAGGTTGGCCACTGTGGGAACAGGAGGCCGGACAAAGCGGGTCGCAGTCTTGATCCATCAGGCTCTTATGATATTCTTATAGAGCCTCCAGCTCCAGAGGCAGTCTATCTCTATTCCTAGGTTTGATGGGGTCTTTGGTCGCTGTGAGAAGAGGATGGAAGACTAGATCTATTTGATTCCCTTCCCCTCTTTCGTTCTTTTTTCCTTTCCCCTTCTGTGATGGAACTCCTTTGGGGACTTCCCTGGCTTTTTTCTGGCCCATGTAGGACCAGTCTGGATAGTTGGCCTTGGTGAAGAATTGACGTTTTCATCCCCAAAAAGTTTTTGATTTGAGTTTCTACTGAAATGAGGCTGCATTTTAATGTTGTACTTAATCTTGTTTTTAAATTGTATTTTAATCAATTGTTTTTATACCTGGTGTTAGCTGCCCTGAGCCTGGTCTTGGCTGGGAAGGGCGGGGTATAAATAATAATAATAATTATTATTATTATTATTAATATCATTACACTGGTACCTCAGGATGCGAACAGGATCCGTTCTGGAGCCCCGTTCGCATCCCGAATGGAACGCAAGACACGACGGCGCGTCTGCGAGTGCCGTGTTTTGCCGCTTCCGCGCATGCGCGTGACGTCATTTTGAGCGTCCGCGCATGCGCGAGCAGCGAAACCCGGAAGTAACACGCTCTGTTACTTCCGGGTTGCCGCAGAGCGCAACTCGAATGCGCTCAACCCGAAGCACATTCAACTTGAGGTATGACTGTATTATAGATGGACCAATGGCCTGATCCAGCAACCAGGCGCTTCTGATGCTCTTGTGGAACCTCCAGCTCCAGTGGCAGTCTATCTCAATTCCTAGGTGCTTATGGGTCTTTGGCCACTGTGAGAAGAGGGTGCTGAACTGGGTGGGTCACTGGCCTGTTTGCCTAACCTGGGGCGCCCGCATTCTCTCGCTCCCCGTGCTAAAAGAAGGAGCCTTTCGTTGCCTGTCCCGGGACCCTCTGCCCCACAGGAGGAAAAGGATAAACACCCACCCCACACTGCCTCCCCCCTGCCCTTTACCTCGGCGCGTTTGACAAACTCCTCCGTGGCCGAGTCCTCATTCTCCCGCCTGACCGCGCCAGGCGTTGGAGGGCCGAGGCCTGCAGCGCCCGGCCATAGGAGAAGGTCAGTGCCCACGGACGGGGCAGGGGGCAGTTGTTGATGGCGTTGAGGTTGATGGACGCCTCCTCCTCGCTCTGCCCGCCGGACAGGAAGGTGACCCCTGAAGGAGAGCGTGGGGAAGGAGGAGACGGCTGAGCAATCGGGGATTTCACCCTCACGACACCCCTGCGAGGGAGGCCGAGGAACAGGGGAAGGGGTGGCCCAAGGCCACCTGCCAAAAATCTGGCGCCTTTGGGAAGCCCGAGGAGCAGGACATGGGTGCAAAGGCGCCCCCTGCCCACTTGGACTGGCATTCAAAGGTACACTGCGCCGGAAGCTGGAGGCAGCACCAACTGGTTTCGAAGACAAACTGACGGCTTGTCTTTGAAGACCCTTGTGTGGCTTCCCAAGGGGAGCTGTGGGGCAGGCAGGTGGGAGGGAGGGAGCGCTGGCCTACCTGGGACGGCAGGCGGCACCGTGCGGCGCAGGGCGGTCACCGTCGCCATGGCGATCTCTTCCGGGCTGTACTTGGTCGGGCAGGCGTGCCCCGGGGTCACCATGTTGGGCTTGAGCAAGGTCCCTTCCAGATAGACGTGGTGGTCACTCAGCGCCTTGTAGACGGCGGCCAGGACCTGGAAATCCAACAGGTGCAGCTGCAATGAGACTCCCCAACGCTCTTGCCATGTGCCCCATTTAGCGCCAGGTGGACCCAGCTCTAAGGGAACCCCATAGAGACTCAACTGCTCCTCCCCAGGGGGCTAGAAAAGAGGATTGGGCCAATTCACATGTGGTGGACCTGCCCCAAGGTGAAAGACTTCTGGGAGAAGCTTTATAATGAATTGAAAAAAATGTTGAAATATACATTCAAAGTAGATTTATTGCATTAGCCGAGTGGCCATAGCATGATATACATTGAAATAACAACATAAAATGGGGGTGGGGAGGTAGAGGTAGACATCGTCCTGGGCGAATACTTAAAGAAAGTGGAAAAAAAAAAAAAAAAAGCTGCTGAGGCTGGAGGAGGACCGTTGAAGGGTCCTTCAGCTCCTCAGATTAGTCCTAACTCGATTGTCCTTGTACAATAAGGCTACTTGGAACTTCGTTCGGTTGTGCGGCGTATCGACTGCATCTGTGGTGTTAAGGAAGAAGTTAGTGCCGCTTTCCTCTTCATCACACTAAGCAGGAAGTTAGCTGTCATCTCAGTAATCCAACAATCAGAATCCTGCAAAAAGAGGGACACTATCCAAGGCTGGATTGGGAGATGGAACTTATTCACGAGGGGAGTTAAAAACCGAGATCTTTCATCTGTCCAGTTGGGACAGAAGAGCATTACATGTTCCATAGTCTCCAGGGCCGTGTCATTACAGGAGCATGTTCTGTTTGCGATGGGAACTCTGGAATAACGACCCGACAGAACTGCTGTAGGAAAACAGTTGAGACGGGCACAGGTAAAAGCCCTTCGCTTAGTCTCCGAAGAAATTGTGAAGCAGTATAGAGGGATCCCTTCAGGGGTGGAATAGCTAGGGCTAGGCCTGAACACGGTCCTCTTGCACAAGAAGCTGTGTTGGAGAAGTCAAGTTGCTGTAGTTTCTTTTTAATTAGGGGTAGGGCCACCGGGCTGATACACTCTAAGTTAAGAACAGTTTTACAATTCAAATTGAGAAGAGAGCGGAATTTGAGGTTAATTGTAGTTTTCCAAGGGGAATTATGAATATCTCTTAGGATCAGATTGGAAAAGCCACCTCTAATTCGAGCATCCGATGCTAATAGGTGGAGGGTGTAGGAAATGGCTCGGCTCCATGCTCGTCTAGCAATTGAAGGCTGGGCGAACTCGAGTCGTAGGGCTGCACCTGAGACACATCTCGGGACGCCGGAAAGAGATCTCAGAAACATATGAAGTGGACGATCCAGGTTACCTGATATTGCTGTAGTCCATACTTCACATCCATATAATAATTTAGGGACGACTTTGGCATTAAATATTTGAATTGCTGCTGGAAGGTGTTTGCCGCCCTTCTGGTGGTAAAATCGGACAATGGCGTTAGAGGTCGTGGTTGCAGCGAGAAAGGCAGATTGTAGATGGGTGGTCCAGGAGAGATTATAGGTGAATATTAATCCTAGATATTTAAAGGCTTTTACCTTTTCTAAGTAGCCACCTGTGATCTTAAGCGGCTCCAACTTGAGTTTGCGGGAACGAGTGAAGTGGAGGACTTTCGATTTTTTATAATTAATATTAAGAGCTTCCGCCTTACAATAGGCGATAAATGCATTAACTGCATTTGCTAGATCCGCAGCTGTTCTGGATAAGATGACGGCATCATCAGCATAGAAAAGGGAAGCAACGGGGTGGCCTGCTAAGTGAGGAGGATACTTAGATGCTAGCTTCAAAGTGGAAATTGCATCATGAAGATAGAGATTAAACAGTAAAGGGGCCAAGAGGCAACCTTGTCGGACGCCCTTGGCCGTTGGAAATGGAGTAGTGGGGAGCCGTTTGGACTAGTTCGGACGCGAGCTGTGGTGTTTGAATAAAGGGAGATAATTAGGGAGAGAAGGTGCGGATCAATTCCCAGATGGGCAAGTTTGGACCATAATCTCTGCCTAGGAATGGAATCAAAGGCGGCCTCCAGGTCCATGAAAGCGGCAAATAGGTGGCCTTGCCTTGGAGCAGTGTATTTACTGGCAAGGTGAAAGAGAGTTAGACAATGGTCCATGGTTGACGCTGACTTTCGGAAACCAATCTGTTCTAGCGGTAGAATGTTCCTCTCCTGGACCCATGAGAGAAGTTCCTCCAGTAAAACAGCGGCAAATATTTTCCCGGGATGGATAATAAGCTGATGGGGCGATAGTTCCTAGGGATGTTTGGCTGGCCGCCTTTGAAGATCGGAACTATTATAGCTTCTCTCCAGGAGTCGGGGATGTCTAGGGCGGAGGAGATAGCGGTGAATACAGGAGTCAGGTGTTCGCTCCACCAAAGAGGATCAGTCAGGAAAAGGTCCAACGGGACCATGTCTGGGCCGGGGCCTTATTCCTTTGCATTGACATTATGATGTTGAAAATGCGAGTTGAAGTAAAGTTTATTGAAGAAGTGGGACTAAGAGAGCAGGAACTGAGGTCCAATGGGGATTGAAGGAGATCTGTAAGATGGTTTGGAGAAGCGAAACTAGTTGAATAATAGGCAATCCATTCATCCGCGGAAATCTGGGTAGCTGGATTGAATGGTGCCGAAGGTCTAACTAGGCGCCAGAAGGAGCGGGAGTCATGCCTCTCTACAGCCGAACGAAGAGTGGACCAAGCCTCAAAGATGTACTGCTGTTTCTTGCAATGAATCATGTTTCTATATGTCCTTTTAATATCTATGAGCTTTGCACGGGTTTGGGGGTCGTTGGAAGATTTGATGATTCTGACCATTTTCCTAATTCGCCTTCTTAGGGCTTTACATTCCTTGTCAAACCAAGGCGATTCAGAGAAGAGGCGTTGGTAAGTAGGCGAGGTGGTGGTTATGTAAGTTGTTGAGAAAGCATCAAGTAATTTCCGGTATTGGTCAGCGGGCAGGATTGGATCAGAGGGAACTGCAGACATATCAAATGATTTTTGTATGTCCAGGGCAAGAGAGGAGCTGAGGCTTGTCCATTTCTTTGTTTTGTATACAGGGTGGCTTTGTACCATGGTTCTATAGTTTGAGGAGACTGGGAGTGGCTCTATTAGGTTTAACATTAGAGTCAATGGAAGGTGGTCACCACCAAAATATTCAGCCACTTCCATTTTTGTAGAAATTGAGAATAGCTCCGGCGTCAATAAAATGTAGTCGACAACACTGGTTCCCCGGGAAGTGATGCACGTTAATTGCTGCGAGGACAAGGGAGTAATGTTACCATTTGCGATGCAGAGATCGTTTTCCATGGCCAGTTGGGCCATCAGCCTCCCGACGCATTTGTTATAGGATCAAGAGAGCATCTGTTTCCCAGGGGGGCTGCAGGGGATTGTCCAGGAGTGCTGCGGGAGATATTATATCATCGTCGTTGGGACCTATTCTTGCATTAAAGTCGCCTAAGAGGATTTGAGGGAGTCCTGGGTTAGTTGTTTGGAGATCATGGAGCCAAGACGAAAGTTCAGACCACCTTTCATTGCGGTCGAAATCATTAATTGCTGGGGGCAGATATACTGTAGTTATCAACCATGGGCTTTTGGTCTTTGGGAGATGAATCTTTATGGTGAGAAAGTAAGGGGAAGATTTAATTTCCTCGCAAATAGTGAGGGGTAAGCTGGTTGAAATAAGACAGGCGAGGCCAACTGGGGGCGACCCCTGTTGGTTAGTTTACGAGCACAGGAGCTAAAGGAGCAATAATTTGGGAGAACAATACTTTGTTGGGACCAGGTCTCTTGGAGGCATACAATGTCGAAAGAAGAGATGAGATTCATTGCTTCAGGATCCATTTGCTTTGTCGCCCAGCCGTTAACATTCCAGGAGACAATTTTAAGGCTCTGGGGTAGGTTGGGTGCGTCTTTCAAGGAAACAACTGCTTTTGCTTGATTTGTGAGTGAGGGTTGAGTCTGTTCGTATCTAATGATATCGGATTTCCGCGGAGATAGGGAGCCGGCTGGTGTTTGTCTCTGGTCTAATCTTTGTCAATTATTTCCCAAGGTGCTTTTAGGGATTACTTTTTATGAGCCGGCCCATTGCTCTCCATACATGGCAAACTAGCCAAATGTTCTATAGTTTCGGCTGTTAACTGTTGAATACTGACATTAGTGGTCACCGGGCCTTTGAAGTGTGTTATCTCTTTCCGTAGGTGTTTTTCCGGAACCTGATTGTGGCCTAATTCCGCCTCATCTAGATACCTCAGCTTGTCCCAAGAGCCTGGTGAATTCACCTTCGGGATGGTTCTCTTTATTGGAGGTGGTGTAGTGTTCTCTTCAGTGTGCTGGGCTTCCTTAATTGGGAGTAAATTAATCTCAGCCATTGTCTGAAGGTAACATGGCCGACAGGCCGCTGGGTTTGGTTCTTGTGTAGGGTTCAAATTATAGGAAGTCTGGTCCTTTTAAGGGCGTCCATATTGATTTCCTTGTTTGTATCTCTCCCAGCCAGCTTAATTCTTAGCATATCCAATCTTTCTAATATTTCAGCTTGTATTGGAGATGGAAAATGGCAAAATTGCCTAATTAAGGTATTTTCTTCCGCGGAAAAAAGATCCTCATCTTCATTCTCTTGAAGTTGCAGGTCTTGCAGGTGGGCATCTTTCCTTTTTAATTTTTGAAGCTCTCGCTTCTGGAGACCAGGCCGGGTTTTGGGAGGTTGTTTCTCCTTACTAGGGTTTGCGTGCTTGGCTTCCAGAAGGGGATTCGGTGGTGCCTTGTTTTCAAAAATCTAAGAATTTTTATCTGGGCCTTTAAGAATATATATCTTGATCTGTAGATAAACTTGGCCAGGTTCTGGTCTCTAAATGTGATCATTGCTCTCATTGAACAACCATCATGATGCAAATAATCTACAGAAATAATGTCATATGGCTTTACTGCTCCTGGCAATATATCATTCAGAACGTTCAAGGAGCTCATTCTTCGTTCTTTCCCTGTAAGGAAGCCCTTTGATTTTGGGAAGTTTGTAAATACTAATATTGAGGGATTTAAAATCAGGTTCCAACATCTTGCCTGAATAAAGGTTTGCCCATCTTGTATAGTGTTGTCATCGCGATTGGGCATTGCATCGTCCCCATTTCCCGATTTGCTAAGCGGTTTGCTGCCTTCATTGTTAGGGACCACTTCCCCCCAGAATCTGGCTCACTGAGTGAACTGTTACCAGAACTCTGGGACGTTGCTTCCGTCCTCCCACTTAGTTCTGAATTCTGGTTCAGAGATGCCACCTTAGCCATTAGCTTTGGCGATGGCTTCTTTTCCCCTTCCTGCCATTCTCTTTTTTATCTCGTGCAGCAGATTTATTTGAGTCCAATGGGAGTAGATTAAATAATTTCTGCCATTGTTTATGTCGGCTTATCTTTATTTTCCTTGTTGTTTTAATGTTCTTAGTTTTCTTTTCCCGGACTTTTGATCTATTTTTTGCAATTTCTTGGTTGTTACTGCTTGTCTCATCTTCACTAGTTCATCTGGGTTATGCACAAGTTCATCTGGTTTATGCACTTGGGGTGCATCGGTTGCTGTTGTCTCTTTTGGTTGGGGAATAAAATTTTCCACAAGGGTCAGCAATAACCCATTTGTTATTGTCAAGTCATTGTTATGTTGGAAAGGTCTATATTTATATCTTGGAAATGGGCCTGAAGATGGCCATCACTCAGTTCAGTTTGAGTATATTTGGAAGTGGGCGCCTGGTCTTGGTGGCATGTTGTTAATTCTGCCAGGGGCCGCTGGTTATAGGTGACAGAAATATTTTCCACAGGTTTCTCAGCTAGAACTAGCTCTTGCGCCAGGCTTCTTGGGGAATTTGTGTTTCCAGAGTTGTGTTGAAGCTCTTTGAAGTAATGTGACCGGTCAAGGTAAGTAAGGGGAGAGGAGTGACTTCGTCAATAATTGGTTCAATTTGTTCACTCATGCATTCCTCCCTCTTGGGGAAGTAATTTATAATTTTACTTTGTCTCTTTCCAGGTCCCGGGGGGCTAAGTGGCGTATCTGGCAAGATACCCAACTCCTTACACAACTTTCTAGTGAGGACCATGTTGGATAGTTGTCTTCCTATTAGAAAACCAGTTGTCCCCCAGTGTTTCTGCCTAATTAGCAGGGCCAATGGATGAGTAGGGATGAATCTGCAGCTTTCTCCTGCTTAGCTCATCAGCGAGCGCTGGCTCTCAGTATGTTTCCCTGGTGGAGCCCGAGCCCTCTCCTTTCCAGTGACGGGGAGTCCCTTCACGGCAGGGGAGTCAGCCAGACCTCTTCCCTTCCCCACTCACTCGTCTCAGAAGATTACTCAGCTCCTCAGCACCAAATGCACAGCGGGGGGTGCGGCAAGGCAGCAAGGCTGAAGCACGAAGCAGGTAATAAAACAATAAAGCAATAAAAGCCCGGAGGGGTTAAAAGAAACTACTTAGAACTACTTGAAGCTTAGTCTAAAAACAATAAAACAATAAAAACCCAGAGGGGGATTAAAATAACTACTTAAAACTACTTAAAACTTAATCTAAAGGCAGACGAAGTTAACTAAGCCGCCTTTACTAAGCCGCTACCTTCGTCGCCATACATTTATTAAGAAACCAGAGGCCTTTCTTCTTGGAATAACAGGTTTGGAATTGCTCAAGAAAGATGTTAAATTGTTTTTGTATGCCACAACTGCAGCAAGGATCTTGTTAGCGAAGAACTGGAAAACACAAGAAGTACCAAAAGTGGAAGATTGGCAGATGAGGATGATGGATTTTTCGGAGCTGGCCGACCGGACTGGAAGAGTCCGCGACCAGAAGGAGGAGTACCAGGAAAAATGGATGAAATTTAAAGACTATTTAGTTAAATATGTTAAGATAGCTTGATTGGAAAATGAAAGATGTTAAGTGATCAAGTTAATTTTTTGAGAAAATTGATTTTGGAAAACTGCTAAAATAATATATAATGAAATTCAACCAAGGGGATTTGAGGAAGTCACTTAATAATGTTACAAAGATTGGTTTAATTATAAATAGGATGTATGTCTGTTTGTTTTAAATTTTGGAAAATTAATTTAAAAATTGGGGGGGGGGGGGAGAGGATTGGGCCAATACAAGGAGGAAAGGGCTATTGACGGCTCCTGGCCACAACAGCTAGCACTTCCTCCACGGTCAGAGGCCGCTATGCCACTTACCGGACCCCGCTGAATGTGGGACGCGCACAGGCAAAGCTGTCCTCATGCTCTTTCAAGGCTTCTTTAAAAGTTGCAGGTCACATTGTATTTATTTACGACATATCCAATGCAAAGGATCACAGAAACAAAACGTTAACAAAACTATTTTGCTTCCTGCCAGCCCTTCTAATACTGAAAAAATGACAGCGGGGTTCAGCCTTGCTGGCATTCTGCTAAACACTTTGGCGGAGTCTGTAAACTTTAAGAAGAAAAAGCATAAAAACCCAAAGATAGCCTTTCACCATGTGGATTAAGCCAGCCCTGTTTTCCAGCCCAAAATCTTACACTTGGTACCCCTCATTCTGGAATAGAGCTATAATGAGAAAATTAAGGCTTCCAGATGCCGTTTATGTGATTTGGTGTTCGTTCTGTGACATATGCAATGGAAGCATTGTTTAAACCAAGCTTGATAATCTGATAACGTTGAGAATTTACACTTGCACTTTGCCATTTTAACTCATGTGCAGCTGTGTTCTATGTACCCATTTCACAGTTTTGGTTTTTTTATCTGTTACAATTGTTCTGTTTTATGGACATTAAAAAATGAAATTTTGAAAGGGGTGGGGGCAGCCATGCCTGTTTTCTAAACTTACACACACACAGAGATGCCTCACCTTCTCAGTCACGTACTGGCACCTCTTCAAATCGTGTTCTCCGTCGGGCAAGATCTCTGGTTCCACAATGGGCACGATGCCGTTCTAGAGCAGAAAGGCCAACACAGGCACTTAAGACGCGAGAGGCTTCTTTGCCCCGGAAGATGCAGTGTGGCGGCTGCATAATTTTATTTCATTTTTATTTATTTATTCCATTATTTAGCCCACCTTTATTCCCAAGGAACTCAGCTTGGTTCTCATCCTCCCCATTCACCCCCACAACAACCTTGCGAAGTAGCTTGGGCGGAGAGAGGCAGCGTGACTGGCCTATGAGTGGGGGATCTGAACCCCGGTCTCTCCTGGGTCCTGGTCAGACACTCTCACCACTAGGCCACACTGCCATCTTCCCCATCGCCACTCTGGGCATGTGGCAAGGCATGAGGCTAGCACAGGGCCAGAGCCCAGGGGTGTGGTGAACCTGCTTGGCTTGCAGAAGGCCCCAGGTTCAAACCCCAACGGCATCTGGGCTGGAAATGACACTTGCCAGCTAAAACCCTGGAGAACTGCTGCCAGCCAGTGCGTACGCAATCCCAATGGACTGTAGTCTGCACCAGGCAGCTTCCTGTTTGCCCCTTTATTTAGAACCATAAGGAGTATAGCCATATGGGGTTTTTTTAAGGAAAGGGCTCTAGCTGCCAGTCCGTGTTGAAAATACCAAATACCAGACCCTACATAAAGCAGCTTCCCATGTTCCTATTACAGGCGAAGCTTTATTTAAATGCATGAGGACTAGAAACTTTGTAGGGGAAGGGCCGTGGCCTGCTTTGCATGCAGAAGGTCCTGGGTTCAGTCCTCAGCGGCATTTCCAGGCAGGGCTGTGAGAGACCCGGGAGAGCTGCTGCCAGCCAGGGCAGACAATACCAAGCTAGACAGTCATTGCAAGGGGACTTCCTCTGTTCCAGACGCTCCCGGCAGCCGGGGGCCCTTACCTGCTGGCAGATACTGGCATAGCGCGCCAGGACATTGGCATTCTCCAGGATGGCCAGGGCGGAGGGGGTGTTCTCGCTGATCTTCAACACGCAGCGCCACTTGGCGAAATCCGCCCCGTCTTTCTTGTACTGAGCGCAGCGCTCAGAAAGCCCGTCCAGGCCTGGCAGGAGGAAGGAAGGGAAACATTGGGGGCGGACAATAATATACTTGTATTTTAAAAATCAAAAGCCTGACCTGTTAACTGGCACCTTCCTAAGGGATGGGCTGGAGATATTTAAAATAATTAGCCGGTGGTATCAGGGTTTAGGGCTGCAGAGTTTAATTACTCCAATTAAACAGTTATGGAACTTTTAGTTACAGCTTCCAGGTGAGAGCTAGGGGGCTGAACCACCTTCTGCGCGATTAAGAGCTGCCTCTGAGAGAGGACTCTGCATTTTCCTTTTTCTTTCTCTGTGTTTTTATTTAGGTTAGTTTCTTTTATCTCATTGTATTGTGATAAAGCTTTAATAAAACCTTTTTTCTTTTTTTTAAGAGCTTTCAGTTGCCTGATGGAGGCAGTTAATCATTCACAAGCCCTGAGTTATTTATCAAGGTATTTCTGTACCGTTAAATCACAGAACATATCAAGGTGTGTTACAATATGAAAAAGAAGAGAACCACATAAAAAAATAAAAACTATTTTGAAGCAAAAGAGACTATTTTAAAACAAGCATCAACAAACCGTTATGGGACATGTCTTTAATGCCTACACAGGTCTGATGAAATAGGAGGTTTCCGCAGATGTTATCATTATTAGTGAGAAAGGACCGCGCAGACTTAAGCTATGGAACTCTCTCCCACAGGAAACACTGATGACCCCCAAGCGAGATGGCTTTAAAAGAGGACTGGACCGATTGATGGAGGAGGAGAGGGCTATCGATGGCTGCTAGCCAGGCTGGAGCCAGTAAATGCTTCTGACTACCAGTTGATGAAAACCACAGTAAAGGAAAGGGCTCAGGCTTGGATCCTGATTGCAAGTTTCCCAGAAGAGGCACCTGGTTGGCCACTGTGAGAACAGGAGGCTGAACTAGATGGGCCTCCTTTGGCCTGATCCAGCAGCCGGGCTCTTCTGATGTTCCTATAGAACCTCCAGGTCCAGAGGCAGTCTATCTCGATTCCCAGGTTCTTTGGGGCATTTGGCACATGCGAGAAGAGGATACAGGATTAGATGAGCCACTGCTCTGATCCCGCAGGCTATTCTCATCTTCTTAGCACTCTTGATTATTTATTTATTTAAGAGAGCCTACCCTCGGCCCTGGGACATGGGGGGCGCTGTAGGTTAAACCACAGAGCCTAGGACTTGCCGATCAGAAGGTCGGCGGTTCGAATCCCCGCGATGGGGTGAGCCTCCGTTGCTCAGTCCCTGCTCCTGCCCACCTAGCAGTTTGAAAGCACCTCAAAGTGCAAGTAGATAAAAAGGTATCGCTCTGGGGGGAAGGTAAACGGCGTTTCCGTGCGCTGCTCTGGTTCGCCAGAAGCGACTTAGTCATGCTGGCCACATGACCCGGAAGCTGTACGCCGGCTCCCTCGGCCAGTAAAGCGAGATGAGCGCCACAACCCCAGAGTCGGCCACGACTGGACCTAATGGTCAGGGGTCCCTTTACCTTTACCTTACCCTCAGCCCTAAAATTTCATGGCGTGAAGCATCTAAGACCTAATCCACTTACAGAAAGAGCAGATCAAGTTAATCCCAACCCGACCTTTGGAACAATGGGCAAGGGCAGCAAATGTGCTTTGCACTGAATCAGAGCATTGATCCATCCAGCTCAAAATCGTCTCTAGGATGGCGAAGGAAACAGCTATTCCGAAACATCGCTTTGACCTGCATGCACATTTGAACACCAGCTAGCTAGCAACTCATCCGATGGGTTTGGCTGGGCTTTCAAAGGCTCCTACCTTGGGTGGTGGTCTCTCCATCGGTCCCAGCGAGGGGCACAACGCCCTTGTCCACCTGTGAAAGACACAAGACACCCAAGGGTGACCGACGCCTCTGTGACAGACCCTCTAGGGACCCAGACCCTCTCCAAGGCCCAGAACAAGCCAGGAACCTGCTGCCCTCCAGATCTTGCCGCACTACAATTCCCATCAGCCCCGGGATTATACACCCATGGGAGTTGTAGTCCAAGAGGTGGGGAGGGCACGGGGTCGCCAGGGTCTGGCCTTGAGACTCCCTGCAAACAAGAGCCGGCGGTTGTTTCCTTTCCCTCGAAGGGGGAGAAACCTCGTGACCCACGGCCCCGATTCGCCTCGCGCACCTTGATGCCCACGACGATGCCCTTGTCCTTGACCATCTCGACGAAGGGCGTGCCGTCATCCGCCTTCTGGTACATGGTCTCGTGGAAGAAGATGACCCCTCCGATACACTTCTCCACCCGGCTGTCGGCGCTGAAGAGGATCTGGCGGTAGAGACGTCGGTTCTCCTCCGTGTTCTCCACTCCAATCTGGTTCAGCCGCTGGCCATGCTCCCTGTCGGAGGAGGAGGAAGGCAGAGGGGGCTTAGCAAACCAAAAACCCACGCAAATGTTCAGAAGCGCAATGGCGGGAGGGTCAGGGGTATGTTAGTCTGCAGTGCCCCTAGTCTGAGGGATCTTGACTCTCAGCCTCAGTTGCCATCTGTAAAATGGGAATCAAAAGCCGCTCGATAAGGTCGGCCAAAGCCAGCAGGTAACACCAGCAGAGAATTGGTATCATAGAATCCTAGGACAGGGAGGGATCCCCAAGGGTCATCTAGTCCAACCCCCTGCAATGCAGGAATCTCAACTAAAGAATCCCTGACAGGATTGTTTCGGGTCCTTCCTTCCAGAGCAGGAGAAACCAAGCTTGCTCCATCTTCCTTGAGATATTTGAAGATGGCTCTCCTATGTCCTCTCAAACTCCTCGTTTCCAGGCTCAACATATCTGGCTCCTTCAACCGTTCCTCATCAGGCTTGGTTTCCAGGCCCTTGACCATCCTGGTCTCCCTCCTCTGCCCACCTTACAGCTTGTCAACATCCTCCTTCAATTGTGGCGCCCAGAACTGGACACAGGACTCCAGGTGTGATCTGACCAAGGCAGAATAGAGCGGGACTATGACTTCCCTTGATCTGGGCCATGGGTAGGCAAACTAAAGCCTGGGGGCCGGATCCGGCCCAATCGCCTTCTAAATCCAGCCCATGGACAGTCCAGGAATCAGCGTGTTTTTACATGAGTAGAATGTGTGCTTTTATTTAAAATGCATCTCTGGGTTATTTGTGGGGCATAGGAATTTGTTCTTTCCCCCCCCTCCAAAACATAGTCTGGCCCCCCACAAGGTCTGAGGGACAGTGGACCAGCCCCCTGCTGAAAAAGTTTACTGACCCCTGAGATTCTGGACACTAGACTTCTCTTAATGCAGGCTAGAGAAGCATTCGCTCTTTTGCTGCTGCATCACACTGTGGACTCCTGCTCAGCTTGTGGTTTCCTAAGACCCCCCAACCCCACCCCAATCCTTCTCACATGCTCTGTTGTCAAGCCATGTGCCCCCCCATCCTATAGTTGTGCATCTGGGGCTTCCTGCCTAAGTGGAGAACCAGTGCAGGAAATTTCCAGGGGCGCTTTTTAAAAGAAAAAGAGGCCTACCCACGGATTCATCGGCTGCCAGGATCCCCTTGCCCGGGGCCACGATCCGCTGGGCGATGTCGGAGAGCTCCATCTTCTGCTCCGTGGTGAGGGCGGGGTACTGGTGCGTCATCTTGGCTGCTTTTCCCTGCGCCAAAGGAAGGCACAAGAAGCAAGTCAGCAGAGACCCCCTACCTTTCCTGACATGGCGCCCATGGGGGCAGCTCTTTCTAGGGCTCCCCCACCCCGCAAATGGAGGTCACCAACTCCCGCCAACTTTGCCAAGGCCTCCGTCCACTCGCTGCTTTTATGCAAGCCTTGTTCGCTTGTCTTTAAACGATGACAAAAAGCTTCCAGAATAAACAGAAAGTCAACCCATATGCATAGCAAGTCAGTACCGCAACCTTGTACATTTTTGTTATCCAAAACCAATCTAGGGATTTCCAATTTACTCAATCAATATCTGCTACAGAGCTCATGGAAACTTTATGTGCGAATATCGATCGAGTCGACATCTGTGCATCGAAAGAACAATCAGTTTAATTCCATTTTTCAACCCCGTAAACGCTTATCGCATTTATAAATTTTAAATTTATTGTTGTACAATGTTCTAATTGTTTGCTTTCCTTCTGGGACTGTACCCCCAAGTGTGTTTTATAAGCTGGTCTCCGACCGTAATAAACTATCTATTTATCTAACCCCTTAAACTAATTCCCAGCTGGGGGATGGAACTAGATAGAGAGCTTAAAACAGAAGCTTTGCTGAGTATGACGGGCTGATCAGGCCTGGGAAACACAATTCGGGGATCTGGTTTTACAAAAGGAATGGCAACGATTCCAGGATCACAACGTAAGGAGAGCCTGCTGGATCAGGCCAATGGCCACCTAGTCCAACATCCACTTCTCCTGCAGCAGGGAGTTCCACAGTTTAACGCCTTTGGCTGATTAGTATTCTAAAGCCTTTTAAAGGTATCAGCGGGAAGGGGGAGTTATTCTTTTGTTGTTTTGGTTTAATTATTTACAGTGGTACCTCAGGTTACATATGCTTCAGGTTACATACGCTTCAGGTTACAGACTCCGCTAACCCAGAAATAGTGCTTCAGGTTAGGAACTTTGCTTCAGGATGAGAACAGAAATCGTGCTCCAGCAGCAGCAGGAGGCCCCATTAGCTAAAGTGATGCTTCAGGTTAAGAACAGTTTCAGGTTAAGTACAGACCTCCGGAACGAATTAAGTACTTAACCCGAGGTAACACTGTACTGTGTTTTATCTTGTATTTTATTCTGCCAACGCCCCCCCCCCCCCCATCTTTGGATGAAGGGCAGTATATAAATTTAAAAAGATGGGTGCTGGGCCAGCCCCCTCTCTGCCAGGCCTCATCTGCTCAGGCAGTTGCAGGGAGGGGGGACTTCCAAGCCCCCCACCCAGCTGCGCCACCCAACCAGACAGACAGAACCGCCACCATTCTGCCCGCCTACCCATCCAGGGAGCACGTAGCAGAGGACAACTTATGTAACAGAGAGCGGGGCGATCACAGCCACCAGCACAGACACGTGCCCAGTCTCGTGGCAGCCCCAGCCAGATGGCAGCACACGGCCAGGCCCTCCCCCCCCCAACCACAGGCAGCTGAGGGCTTTGCTGTTAGTGACCCCTGAGGATTAAGCACCCTTCCCCTCTCAAGCACAGCCTGCAAAACAAACATGCCCTGCAAGGGCTTTTCTTTTCTGCGGCCACCAAATGGGGACCCATTATTAATTATTGCCATTATTATTATTATTATTAACATCATCATTATCATTATTATCAGCAGCACAGGCCCCAAATCCAGTGAATCAGTAGGATATTGTGATAAGAATTTTATGGGCTCTTGGATACCCCATAAGGGGGAAAGGGCAGATTTTGTTTACATCAATATCCCCAAATACTCTGGTTTCTCTTCAGATCATATAAATCTTTCGCCTTTTACAACAATATCCCCAAATATTCTTCTCCCAAGAAGCCAGGAGCCTTTGAGACTTAGAGATAAGGCAACATTATTATTATTATTATTATTATTATTATTATTATTATTAATACCTCACCCATCTGGGTGGGCTTCCCAGCCACTCTGGGCGGCTCCCAACCGAATATTAAAAACACAACACAGCATTAAACATTAAAAACTTCCCCAAACAAGGATGCCGTCAGATGTTTACAGCCCATCGCACAGCATGGAGAAAGCGGAGAGAGAACAGGACACTGTTTTTAAAATAAATAAATATCTTGTTGCAGTGAGTTCCATAGTTCAACTACACGGTGCCTGAACCAGTCCTTCCTTTTGCCTGTCCTGAGCTTCATTGGGCAGCCCCCTTTGGATCATCGCATTATGCAGAGCCTGTGGTGGCCTAGTGGTGAGAGTGCCAGACCAGGACCTGGGAGAGACCCGGGTTCAAATCACCCAGCTGAGTCACGAAGCTCTCACTGCCTGAACTTGGAAGCCAGTCGCTCAGTCTCGGCATAAGCCACCTCACAGGGTTGCTGGGGGGATGAAATGGGGAGGAAGAGAACTTTCCATGCCATCTTTTTCCCTCCCCCCCCCCTTTTATGAAGATTGCCCACTCTGGGATCCCACAGCTAATTCTCCCCTGTTCTCCTCGCTGGCCCAAATAGGACTAATTTAGCCAGCTAGCCCTGGTGATCACCTAATATTTATTGGATGGTTTCCCCCCCCAAATTGATTTTTGAATTCTGAATTAATTGTTATCCATGTTTTATGCTGTTTTTTGTTGCATCAATTAAGTGTTTTAAATTTGTTGTTAGCTGCCCTGAGCCCGGTTTCTGAACTGGGAAGGGCGGAGTATAAATAAAATATTATTATTATTATTATCATCTTCATCATCATCTTGAGCTCCTTGGGATATCAATACAATAAATAGACAATAATTAATAAATAAAAGGGGGAAAGAACCCTCTCTCCATCTCTATCACACCTCACATAAATGTTTACACCTCCGCAATTTGCCTGGTTTCCTAAGCTAAAAAGGCCCCAGCCTTGCTGTCTTTTCTCATAAGGGAGAAAGGGGGTTTGCTACTTCTTGCCCCCCAACTCTCTGCAAGCCGCTGCAGGGGGTGGGACTGGATGGCCCCTGGGGGCCCCTGCCAACTCTGCAATTCTACAATGGGTATTCCATCAAAGCGACCTGTCAACATGAAGCAATCCCTGTCTCTGGGAGCTCCAGGAGAGCGTGGAAACATAAAAGTATAAGAACATAAGAAGCGGCTGCTGGATCAGGCCCATGGCCCATCTGGTCCAGTCTCCTGCCCTCACAGCGGCCAAGCAGATGCCCCCATGGGAAACCCATGGCAGGATTCGAACTCAAGAGCGCTCTCCCTTCCTGTGGGTTCCAGCAACTGGGATTCAGAAGTGCAGCCAGAGCAGAGCCCTCCCCCCCGCCAGGAATCTGTCCAATCCTCTTCTAAAGTCATCTAGGTTGGTGGCCCTTGTGGGAGGGAGTTCCACAGCTTAACCCTGCGCTGTGGGACGTCCCAAACGCTGCAAGCTCTCCTCCCAGGGTTAGTCTTTCCACTCCCTGGGTCATTTGGGCTGCCCCTTCCGGAACCTTTTCGAAGACTCTGCCGTGTGTTTGCTTCCCTTTGGAGAAAGATGCGCTAGTCCTCATTGTGCAGGCAGATCCTGCTCCCCTTAAGCTCTTCTCCTAAAAGGACTGGACCCCTCTCCGTGATCCTAATCCTGCTTCCTGGGTATCTCCAGTTGGGAGGAGAAGTTCCTCCTAGGTGGGGGCCAACACCCTTCCTCTTCCCTCATCAACACGAGGGGCAAGGCGGTCCCACAACACTGCCAGATACTCATCAGGCAGCCCTGTTCTGGGAAGTTTTAATGTGTGACATTTTAATGTACAGTGGTACCTTGGGTTGCATACGCTTCAGGTTACAGACTCCGCTAACCCAGAAATAGTACCTCGGGTTAAGAACTTTGCTTCAGGATGAGAACGGAAATCGTGCTCCGGTGGCAGCGGGAGGCCCCATTAGCTAAAGTGGTGTTTCAGGTTAAGAACTGTTTCAGGTTAAGAACGGACCTCCGGAACGAATTAAGTTCTTAACCCGAGGTACCACTGTATTTTTAATCTTTGTTGGAAGCCGCCCAGAGTGGCTGGGGAAGCCCAGCCAGACGGGTGGGGTACAAATAATAAATTTATTATTATTATTATTATTATTATTATTATCAGCACCAATGACCCCAAACCGGGCACCAGAGCTGGGCCAGAGACCCCCACCCCAGGCCAGGGGCCCTGTGACCTTGCTACATCCTTGGCAGCTTCGTGGGCTGCCCCAACCCGCCAGCCGGTTTTCGCCCCATTTTTGGGGAGACGGCAACCCACCACACGCCCTCTTCTCAGGGCTGGTTGGCAAAGCCCAGGGCAACTCAGAGAAAGCCTCACACACACACACTAAAAATTCGGTGTCTGGTCAGAGCGGATGTGGCACAGTGGACTAGGGTGTCAGCCTGAGAAAGACCAGGGTTCAAATCTTCCCCCTCAGCTCAGTGGGTGACCTTGGCTTCTCAACCTAACCTACCTGGCAGGGTTGCTGTGAGAATGAAATAGGGGTGGACCATGGATTTATGGCCTTTGGATCCCACCTTTGTCTCCAGGGAGCTCAAGGGATTTGAACCCTGGTCTCTCCCAGGTCCCAGTCCAAGTCTCTCCCCACTCTGCCATGCTGGTTCATAGAAACTCTGGAAGCTGCCTTATAGTGAGTTAGAGGCTTCCTCCACTTAGCTAAATAATGCCTACTCTGACTGGCAGCAATGGCTCTCCAGGATTTCAGACTCTCTTACAGCCCTACCTGGAGACACCACTGGGGACCAAGCCTGGGACCTTCTGCAAGGAGGTGCTTTGCCACTACCTATATAGGAAGCTTCCTTATACAGAGTCCATCCAGCCCAGTATTGCGCACACTGACCGGCAGCACTGCCTCTCCAGGGTTGCAGTCTCTCCCAGCCCTACCATTGGGGACTGAGTCTGGGACCTTCTGCATGCAAAGCAGGGGCTCTGGAGCGCTGAGCTGCGCCCCACATTCCCTGTAAATGTAACATGCACGCCAGAGAGGCAGTGTGGTATAGTGGTTAGAGACACCAGGGTTCAAATCCTCCCTCTTGGCCATGGGGCTCTCTGGGTGGGTGACCTTGGGGGCCAGCCACTGCCTCTTGGGCTAGCCTGCCTCGCAGGGTTATTGTTGGGGGGGGGCCCTGCAGACCACCTTGAGTTCCTTAGAGATGGAATAGGAAAGCAAGCAACCGATCAATCACTATATTAAAATTCAACATCTCATCTGGTGTTTTCCGCTTTCAAGAAAGCAAGTTGAGCCACAGGCAAGAAAAGTGAGGGGGGCAGGGGCGGGAGAGACTTGCCTCTTAGCCATCTGTCCAGAAAGGAAGATTTAATTCAAGCCATCAATCTGCCAGGCTCACAAAAAAAGCTTTTTTTGAGCCAGGAACAAGAGATGTTGCCATTCCGAAAGCGTCCCACGAAAGCTGCTTTCAGCTCCCCTCCCACTTCGCCACCCCCAACCCAGCCAGCGCCAAAGGACTCAAGGCTCCCTCCCCATCCCTGGGCAACGGGTGCCAGGGAACGACTAGCAAACAGGCAGGCAAGGAGGAATCGCCATTCCAGAATTCTGGGTGCAAGAAATACCCGCACATATTTTTATACCTACCAAGGGGGGCGGCCCAGAACAGGAGCCCCAAATCCAAGTGGAGGCTGGCAGGACCACCAAGACGGACCCTAACACGGCGGTCAGCAGCTGGGGGAGCCCCAGGGTGGAAGTCAGCCCCCTTGCCTCTCTGGACCCCCTCCCCGCCATTTGGGACTTTGCTTCCTGGGTTACAGAAATGCAAACATAATAATTTTAAAGGGGTATTTTTCGCAGGAGAAAGGATGCCGGAATTAGCAAAAGATGGGAAGGGGGTGGCGTTTGGAGGGATTTGATGGCTGGGCCTCCCTCCTCAACCACGCACGCACATTAGCTGGAACCAATCCCGCCCTACACTTTGCCTGCCCGGCGGGTGCCTCTGAGCACATGCAGAGTGCATTTCGCCACCACTCCCACAGCAACCCCCTAACCTCGCTAAGGGGCTCCATCTGAACCCCAGGCTCCTTTCCTTCCTCCCATATGACGCCTCTTCATCACTTTGCACCGCAGCACAGAGGGGGAGGCTGGAGATTGCTCCCCTCCCCCCAAAAAACCCCTTCCCATCCCTCCAAAAAAATATGTGTAGGGTGCTCCCCAGAAAACCAGGCAGAGATGAGGAATTGGGGGGCTGGAAAAATAAACAGGGGAGCCCCACCACCAAGTGTCCTATCCTCGGACCGTCTTTCGGTGGGGTGCCGTGCGTCCTTCCCCTCGAGCAAATGGTAGTGGGGGGTCTTGCCTTCTTGTGGGGAGGGGGGACAGGCAACGGTGCCACGGAGGAGGAAGGTATGGGGGGGGGTCTCTGGGACCCGATCCTGGCGGGCTTACCGGCCTCCCGTCCGTGCGTCCGTCTGTCGTCGAGGCTTGGAGCAAGCTGCGTGTGCGGGCGGCGCGGCTCCGGCTGTAAAAGAGGCTGCGGTGCCGCAGAGCTACGTGACTCCGGCGGGGGAGGCGGGGGAGAGGGAGGGAGGAGCCACCCCCCCCCCGCCGTCCCCTCCCATGACCCGAGGAAGGAGGGGTCCCCCCCCCTCAGCCTAGCCCGGGACGGAGACGACGCCGGTTTCGATGGAGAGGCGCACAGATGCCGCCTTGAAGGGCGCAGCGCGCCATGCGCAACGGCGATGGGAAGCCTCGTTTGTATATTTGAGCATCATTTGTTTGTTTGTTTGTATCTCACCTTTCTGAGTACGCGGTTTCCCTCCTCCCCCTGTTATCCTCACAACAGCCCTGCGAGGTAGGTTAGAGGCGGAGAAAGGCAGTGACGGCCCTTTCTGGACCGCAGCAACTCTCAGCCTGGCGGCTGGGGCTGAGAGGAAGACTCAGAACATCTGGAGTTCCCAGCTGGGCAGCCCCACAAAACCCACGGCCCACATTCTGTTTATTTTCACCCAGCCTTTATAGACTGCGTCCAAGGAAGAGGTCCTCTTTCACACAGCATAGTGTGAAACTGTGGAACTCACTGCCACAGGAGGCAGGGACGGCAAGGACGGCTTTCATAGAGTTGGAAGGGATTGCAAGGGTCATCCAGTCCAACCCGCTGCAATGCAGGAATTTCAGCATTCCTGACAGATGGCCGTCCAATCTCTGCTTAAAACTTCCAAGGAAGGAGAGTCCACCACCTTCGGAAGGGAGGCCGTTGTTCCAGCGTCGAACAGCTCTTACGGTCAGAAAGTTCTTCCTAATGTTGAGTTGGAATCTCCTTTCTTGTAAACTTGATTCCACTGGTTCGAGTCTTACCTTGCAGAGCAGGAGAAAACAAGCTTTCTCCATCCTCCTTGTGATATTTGAGATATTTGAAGATGGCTCTCATATCTCCTCTCAGTCTTCTCTTTTCCAGGCTAAACATATCCAGCTCCTTCAACCGTTCCTCATCAGGCTTGGTTTCCAGACTTAGCAGCAGCAGCAACAACAACAATTTATTATTTATACCCCACCCATCTGGCTGGGCTTCCCCAGCCACTCTGGGCGGCTTCCAACAAAATATTAAAATACCGTAATGCATCAAACGTTAAAAGCTTCCCTAAACAGGGATGCCTTCAGATGTCTTCTAAAAGTCTGGTAGTTGTTATTCTCTTTGACATCTGGTGGGAGGGCATTCCACAGGGCGGGTGCCACCACCAAGAAGGCCCTCTGCCTGGTTCCCTGTAACTTGGCTTCTAACAGTGAGGGAACCGCCAGAAGGCCCTTGGCGCTGGACCTCAGTGTCCGGGTAGAACGATGGGGGTGGAGACGCTCCTTCAGATATACAGTGGTACTTCGGGTTAAGAACTTAATTCATTCTGGAGGTCCGTTCTCAACCTGTTCTTAACCTGAAGCACCACTTTAGCTAATGGGGCCTCCTGCTGCCGCTGTATCGCCGGAGCACGATTTCTGTTCTCATCCTGAAGCAAAGTTCTTAACCTGAGGTACTATTTCTGGGTTAGCGGAGTCTGTAACCTGAGGCGTCTGTAACCTGAAGCGTATGTAACCCGAGGTACCACTGTACTGGATCATCTTTGTTGCCCTCCTCTGCGCACATTGCAGCTTACCAATGGCATTTTAAAATTGTGGCACCCAGAACTGGACACAGTATTCCAGGTGTGGTCCAACCAAGGCAGAAGAGAGCTGGACTATGACTTCCCTTGATCTGGACACTAGACTTCTGTTGATGCAGCCTAGAATAGCATTTGCCTTTTTTGCTGCTGCATCACACTCATGTGGACTCATGTTCAGCTTGTGTTCCACCAAGACCCCTAGATCCTTTCCTGCTAAGAAATTCATGGTCTGTCCACGGCTATGAATGGCTACTGGCTGTGATGGTTCTCCTCTGCCTCCATGGAGACAGTGATGCTTTTGAATACCAGTTGCTGCGATCCCGCAGGAGGGGAGGCGGTCAAATCCTGAGTGTGGGTTTTCCACAGTCAACGGTTCAGCCACTGGGATGCTTGACTAGGCAGGCCATTGGCCCGATCCAGCAGCCAAGCTCTTCCCATGTTCTGGCACAAAAGACCTCTAAACCACTTAATATTCAATTGAAACCCCAATAATCAAGTTACATAATTTAAAGGTGCCACACACACTACAGTTGTTTGCTTTTCAGATATCACAAGACCCTGCTGGTGGTGTTGCTTTTTTTGCCGTAAGAGTAAATGGCTGATTACCCCTCTGGCGATAACCCTCGACCCATCAGGCCCATTAGGACTGGCTCCAGTCCATCGTGGAGCCCAGCCACTGACTCAGCAGCTTCACCGCTATGTATTATAGATGAGGAAAAGAGAGAAAGAGATTCATGTGCTATAAAAGCCACCTGGGCAGAGGCTGGATTAACAAAAATAACCTCATTTTTATTTTTTCAGCATCATATAAAAGGAATAATAGAGCTCAAAAAAAGGAAAACCAAAAAAGAGAAAGAAAACAAGTGAAATAAAATATCAACGACAATAATGAACCTAATAAAATACAAAAGTATATAGGTTTTTTAATCTATCTATCTATCTGTCTGTCTGTCTACTTTCTCAGTATTTTGTCTTAACCTTCAATCCTTCCAGCTCCCACCTGGGAGAGATTCTCCCTTCCTCTGATTCCTGCCCCCCAGTCATTTACCCTTCAGATATTAACGTCTTCCGAAATTAAAAGACGCATATAGATAATATTTTTAGAGGGCTGTCAAGAGGCTGAGGCTGGATGATTCTGATGATACCAGGAAGGGGAATCTCCCAGGCGGCTGCCCCTTGGCCTTCCTCAGAGGGACCCAGGATTAACCCCACATACAGGCAGGACAACATCGCACAGCGTTCGGGGCGGTTAAATGTCTTAATTTTGTGCCCGCATGACGGAGCTTTGACATCCATACGCATGTGTTCGTGCTCAGCATAGAGCCAAAGTGTGCGGTAGCGCCCCCTGGAGGTGGTGGGATTCCCTAGTGGGGGCACTAAAGGGGTGGCAGTGGGGGGGGGGGCGGCTAGAGGTGGAAGAGACTGCCAGACTGTCACTGGGTCCAAATTCATCTCTTTGGTTGAATTAACTGAATTAAATAGTGTTAATTGGACCTTGAATCAATGTGCAATTATCTCTTCCTCCTGTCTGGTGCTATTATTTCCCTTAGTGGGTTGTGCAAACAGCTATCCTGAATATTGCTTTTTATAGGGCAGGGGTCCCAAAAAGTTTGGGAAACCTCTGGCATAGAGGAACATAAATGATGAATATAAAAAGGTAAAGGACCCCTGACCATACAGTCCAGTTGTGACCGACTCTGGCGTTGCGTGCTCATCTCGCTCAAGAGGCTGAGAGCCGGCGCTTGTCTGCAGACAGCTTCCAGGTCACGTGGCCAGCGTGACTAAGCCACTACTGTCGAAGCAGAGCAGCACACGGAAACACCGTTTACCTTCCCACCAGAGAGCGGTCCCTATTTATCTACTTGCACTTTTGAGGTGCTTTCGAACTGCTAGGTGGGCAGGAGCTGGGACCGAACAACGGGAGCTCACCCCGTCACGGGGATTCGAACCGCCGACCATCCGATCGGCAGGTCCTAGGTGCAGTGGTTTAGCCCACAGCGCCACCAGGCCTCTCAATATTTTGGATATTGTAACCTCTGTATTCTATCCTCTGGGACTCAGGATGCTTGATGGCGAGAGAGGCTTTTAGAAGCATTTTAATTGTGGCCATCGGGGTTCCTGGAACAGGAAAAAACAGGACAGCTGCACAGGGTGAGAGAACGTTCTTCTGCGGTTAAAAGGGAGGCGTCAACCAGTGATGAAAAGATGGAGAGATGAAGACCTCCTTCTGGAACAACCTATTGCCATTTTGGGGATGGAGACATTGCAACCTTGAGTAACTTTGGAACTCCCTGCCACTTGACACCAGGGCAGGCGTTTCCACTGCAATCTCTTTGGCGCCTCCTCAGAATTCTTGCCGTTTATTTTTCTTAACGATCTTTTGTGTAAACTGCTTTGAGGGGGATTTTCACAATCGAGCGGTGCATAAATTTTATGAAATTAAAAAAAATTTGGGGGAGGAGATGCACAAACCCGCAACAACTATACAGGTTGCAGAATTATTATTTTTTAAGAGATTTCAACAACTTTAAGCAGGGTGGGAAAAGGCTTGTTCTGGTGGCCTGCTTTCAGCGGGGGAGAGCTTGCAAGCAGAAGGCCATGAAGGGAGGGTGGGTGGGAGTCTAGAAGGAAGCACGCTGCTGCTTTTTAATGAAGAGGGGAGGAAGGTAGGTGGTCCTCTAGCCACAGAGGCAGAGAAATGCTTCTTGGCCATAGCCCCCACCCACCCCCCAGAAAAGAGACATGACTCTGAGCAGGGAGCTGGGACAAGGGGAATCTAGGCCACGGCGGGGGAGAAGGAGGACCCCCCCACGCTCCGCCCCAGAGAAGCTAGGTCACCCGTGACGGAGGACGCCCAAGGGCAGAGGGACAGATCCAGCACCTTCTTGAGGTGGGGCTAAATCGGGGACAGAACTGGCTGCAGGCTGTGTGTGGGCGGCAGGGAAAAAAGGATGAGCACGGCAGCTGGGAGAGAAATGAAATTAAGTCAATCAATGACTTGGGAATAAAACGAGGGGCTGGGCTGAGTCAGAGGATGGAGGCTGAGAGTGGCCGCCATTTGCAGACTCTTTGCTTTCTTTTTGCTCCCGTCTCACAGGGGGCGGGCAGGCCAACTCTGCCCCCCGGCCTCTGTTGTAAACAAAAATTGCCCTTTTCCCTTATGGGGTATCCAAGAGCCCATATAGAGTCCTTACATAGGTTTCCTATTGGTAGGAGAGAATAACAGAGGCCAACCAGAGAATATTGAGAAGCAAAGCAGCTAGTGAGCCTGATCTTTATTGATTTGTTGCAACAGGGTGCTCCCCTCACCACACGCAGGAGGGAGGAGGAACCCAGAACAATGGCGCGCAAGGCCTTATAAAGACTTTTGAAATTGCCACCCTGTAGATCAAGACCACCTCCAGAAACATCATACATACATCACAGAAGGGGTGTAACCCAAGACCACCCCTCAGCTACATCATACCTACACCACAGAAAAGGCAGTCTAAAACAGAAATTTTGTTAAGTTGTGGTTGCGGAGCTTCTCGTGAATCGTGTCCCACAGTGTTGCCTGGACTGCTATAGGCTCAACCAATGCTCGGGCCGTCTCGAACACCTCAGGCCCACAGAGGCTGAGGAATAGGCCCCGCTTCCGCTCCTGTGATACTTCCGTCAGCTCGTTGGCTTGGAGGTAACAGTTGAACCGAGCGAGGTAGGAGTCCCATGATTCAGAGGCTGGGGCAAACGGCGGTAGAGGCACGAGTGAAGCCATGGTTCCGATGCCGACGTGGAGGCGATGGATGGAACACAGTGCTCTAGCCAGAACGGTCAGCTCTGAATTGGTTCTGCTCCGTGATTTCGCTCAGTGTTTCAGCTCATCTCAGAGGGTGGCTGCATCTGGCTGTGCTCCGTTGTCCATCCATCCCATCCTCGTCGCCAGTGTTAAGTTGTGGGCGGACATATCAGACGACACAGCAATTCTTCAAACAGCTCTTGTTTATTCACAGGCCAGAACAGAACTGAACTGAAGGGTTCAGCCAGCCTGCTTATATAGAGCTCCACTGCAACGCAACTGTAACCACTTTCTGTAACTATCCAATGACTGAACATCATTTTCAGTCCCTTATTTGCATATGTGGACCCCAGTGAAAACTATCTACAGTATCCCCCTGGTGGCCCAGGGTGAGAACTTCAGTACATAACAAGTTTGAATGTTGTTTTTCTCCTGTTGTTGTTTATCTCCTGTCTGGCAGGTTACTTGATTGGATTTCCTGGGGAGCCTGGACAATCTTTTGTAGCGATAAATACTTAGTTCCTGGGCCAGGTCACAGGCTCACCCTATTCAAACACAGACATACCCTTAAGACAAGATTTGTGAAGGAAAAAACAATGGGGAGGCTTTTCCATTTTCCTTTGACCTTGCAAAGAAAACATTTGGTCAGTTTAGGAATAAAAAATGGTTTCCGGTCGGTCTTCCTGTGCTGATCTATGTACGTGCTTGGTTGGTACACTTATGAACATTACCATAGACCTGAAAATTCCTATCACACCTCCCACTTTCCAGGGGGGCTGGATGTAGGGGTGCAGATTCTGGGATATCTTGATTTATTGCTCAGATAAGCGTCCGGCACGCTTCCCCCATTGCGTAGGCCTCTGCATTCCAAAGGGCACATTCCGATACTTCTGAGCATAGCAGAGTTCGTCAGCGGTAAGAGGAAACCAAAACAAAACTCCAGTGCATTCTTCAGTGTGCTTAAATAAAGTCCACTCAGGATATTAGCAGCTAAAAGCAGTTTTATTTACAGCAGGCTATCCATTATCTATCACAGCGAACAGCATCGCGAAAACACGTCCTCTCTCCTCAAAAGCGAAAGTAGAGAGACAGAACAAAGACTTGAGTCTCTCGGAACTGACGTAGGAGTTCCCCCCTCCCAACAACAGTAGGCAGGGCGTACAGTCTGAGCTGTTTAACCCTGTAAGCTCAGGTTCTCCTCACACCCCCTCTCGCCCTGCGCTACTGTGGGGAACGTAAGTATAGAACTTACCCCCAACTCCAAACCACCACAAAACTCCCCATGACGCTGGAAGCTTAAAGGTTTGGTAAATCCATCGGCCAGGTTACTGTGACTGGCACAGTACTTCAGTCGTATCAAACCTGACTGAACACTTTGACACACATTTCGGAAACGTATGTCCAGATGCTTGGTTCTCGCCTTAAATTGCGCAGATTCAGCCAATTTCAAACAAGGCTGATTGTCTTCCCAAACCGTGATGGGCAAGCTACAATCCCCATAGATCTCTTGCACCAAGCATCTATAGAACTCTAGTTCCCGGCACAAATCTGACAGTGCACTGAATTCAGCCTCAGTAGAAGACAGCGCAATGAGACTTTGCTTCCGGGACTTCCATCCAACTAGTGACTTCCCAAACTTTATCACCAACCCAGACACAGACTTGCGGTCCTGCGAATTCGCCCAGTCACTGTCCGCATAGCATGTGAGCTTCGCCTCACCTTCAGCTGGCAGCTTAAGACAGAAGTCTTTGGTATGCTGCAGGTAGCGCAGTACCCGCTTGATACCGTGCCAAGCACTCACACTGGGCTTCGACGCTTCCCTACTTAGCAGGTTGGTAGCAAAGGCAATGTCTGGTCTGCTCCATTGGGACAGATACAACAGACTACCTAGAGCTGACTGAAAGAGCTCAGCATTCTCAAACTCAGCACTTTCTGCTTGCTGGCTATCTTTCACGAAGTTCGTCTCCATGGGTGTCCGAACTCCTGCACAATCGGACATTCTGAACTTCTCCAGCAACTGCTCAATCTTGCCTTTCTGACTGAGCAAGAAGCTACCATCCTCAGTTCTCGCTATCTGGACACCTAGGTAGATCTTTACTGCACCCAGGTCCTTGAACTGAAACCGTTTCCCAAGCTCTTTGGCAAACTTCTGCACCTGTTTGTCTGCCTTTCCAACATGGATGATGTCATCAACGTAAAACAACACCAGTTCCTGTGAGTCTCCTGATCCTCTAAGGAACAGGCAACTGTCAGCAAGACTCTTCCTGAAACCTAGCTTCTCCAAAGCTTCATTCAGGCACAAGTTCCAATTCCTGGCCGACTGTTTCAGGCCGTAAATTGACTTGTGAAGTTTCCACACAGTACCTCGCTCATTGCCCTCAAACCCTGGAGGAGGAAGCATGTACAGATCCTCCTGGAGGTCTGAGTTCAAGTAAGCAACATCCACATCAAAGTGATGCACCAGCAAACCTCTTTGTGCAGCGATGGCCAAGACCAAGCGTAGAGACTCACTCCTACACGTGGGCGCATAAATCTCCGTATAATGCAAACCCCTGCGCTGCGTGAATCCTCTCGCCACTAATCTGGCCTTATACTGCGGTTCTCCTGCCGCTGTGGGCTTAAGACGGTAAACCCAGCGGCTACCCACTGCCTTTTCACCCACCGGCAACTTCGTGAGGGAGAACACACCTAGAGACTCCATTGAGTTCATCTCCTTCTGCATCGCCTCATGCCATTTCCTGGCTTCTTCTTGAGGCAGTTTCTGAACATCCTCAAAACTCTCGGGTTCACACTGTGCCATTCCGACCCACACACTAGTGACGGCAAACCTTTCAGGAGGTTTCCCCTTGGTCGTCCTCGTTGAACGGCGCAGCACCACTTCAGGAACCCCCTCTGACCCACTAGGGCCAGCCAGAACGTCCTTGGCATCAGAGAGCTCCCCCTCTGACTTACTGCGCCTTCTGGACTTCTCAGCCGAACCTGTGGGGGAAGATGGAGCACTGCGTTGCTCACTCTTCACAGCCTTGGGAGAAGTTCTCCCCTCTGCCTGCACTGGGTCTGGACTCTGAGCCTCAGTCGCAGGTTCAACCTCTTCCTCTCCTTCATCAGCAGAGTCTAGCAGACTCTCTGACAGGATGTCAGGGTTCCCATGTATCCTTGCCCAGCCACTCTGCTCACAGAATTCAGCACTGTTGCTGAGCAGAATCCTGGACTGATTCCCTGACGGATAAGCAAACCTCCACCCCTTGGTCCCTGGCTCATACCCACAAAAATCATCTTCTGGGACCTGGGTTCACCTTT